TTCATTTTTTTTTTTTTTTGTGCGTGTATGTGTGGCGAATTTGACTTATGTGGAACAAGAAATAGATTTTGAGGAGGATATTACTTTGTCGAATTCCAAAAAATAATATATTTATTCAACCTTTGAGAAGAACTGTTAGAAAGTTGAAGTTTGACATATCAAGTTTACATGTCAGCATCTAACAATTATCTTTTCCACTCGAGTGAAAGTACATACTCCATACTATTTGGATTTTTTAGCTTATGGATGACCAACTTGACAAATTTTCAGATTATGAATCGGATTATTATTGATTTGCTTGAATTAAAATCTAAATATCCAGAAATGTCAGTGAAAAACACAATGAGTTGTAGTTGTTTAATATTAAATGGTGAAAATTTACTTTTTAAAATGTTAGTCAAATTCACTTTTGCTCTGAGAAGTAAAGGTGACGAACTTTTGGAATAGATATAAATTTTTTGTCATTCGAATATAAAAATGACTTTTTTTTAATTTATTAAAAGACAATCACTTTCAAAAGTCCGAGAAATAAGGGTCATTTTCCTCTTATTATTGAGAAAACTAAAGAAAACAAAATAGATTGTGTTATAAATATAACTCAAAATAACAATATCGAACAAGGAAAAACAAGCTAAGATATATAGAGTGAAAGAGAGGAAGAGAGATCCTTATTTCTTCTTCAAATTGTGTGTTTTTCCTATCTATTACAAGACATTTATATAGGCATGAAAAGTGAATAAAAATATGTCATTGAATATGTCATTAAGCATTTGAGAAGATCATGGAGGAAGAGTAGACATCCAATATAATTTGATTTCTCTTATAACACTCCCCCTTGGATGTCCATAGATAATGTGCCTCGCTAAAACCTTATTAGAAAAAAATCCTATTGAAAAAAAAAAATCATAGTGAAGGAAAAAGAGTACACATGTTTAGAAATACGCCTTTTGGTTGCCTCGTTAAAAACCTTGCAAGGAAAACCCAGTGGGACAAAATCTTGTAAGGGAAAAAGAGTACAACGCGTATTAACTCCCCCTGATGAGAGCATCAATTCACATCCTTGAGCTTTCGCATCCCAATCTTGTACACTAGTTTCTTGAAGGTTGACGTCGGTAGAGATTTGGTGAACAAATCAGCCATATTATCACTTGAACGGATCTGTTGCACATTGATATTACCATTCTTTTGAAGATCATGTGTGAAAAATAACTTTGGTGAAATGTGCTTTGTCCTATCCCCTTTTATGAATCCTCCTTTCAATTGGACTATGCATGCTGCATTGTCTTCATACAAAATTGTGGGTAATTTATCACACTTCAAACCACACTTGTCTCGAATAAGGTGTATTATAGACCTCAACCATACACATTCTCGACTTGCTTCATGAATAGCAATTATCTCAGCATGATTAGATGAAGTAGCCACTATTGATTGCTTAGTCGATCGCCAAGATATGGCAGTGCCTCCATATGTAAACACATAGCCTGTTTGAGATCGAGCCTTGTGTGGGTCAGATAAATACCCAGCATCGGCATAACCAACAAGATCGGGACTGCAATCATTGCCATAAAATAACCCCATATCGATAGTCCCTTTTAGATACCGCAATATGTGTTTGATTCCATTCCAATGTCTCATTGTAGGAGCAGAGCTATATCTTGCTAAGACATTAACTGAAAAAGTTATGTCAGGCCTTGTAGTGTTAGCAAGATACATAAGTGCACCAATTGCACTAAGATATGGTACTTCAGGACCAAGAAGTTCTTCATTCTTTTCTTGAGGTCGGAACGGGTCCTTATTCACATCAAGTGATCGAACAATCATCGGAGTACTTAATGGATGTGCTTCATCCATGTAAAACCGTTTCAATACCTTTTCTATGTAGGCAGATTGATGAACAAAAATCCCGATTGCCAAATGTTCAATTTGCAAACCAAAACATAATTTTATTTTTTCGAGATCTTTCATCTCAAATTCCTTCTTTAAATAATCAATTGCCTTTTGGAGTTCTGTAGGAGTTCCAATAAGGTTTATGTCATCAACATATACAGCAAGTACAACAAACTTTGATGTTGTTTTCTTTATAAAAATACATGGACAAATGGTCATTTATATAACCTTCCTTTAATAAATACCCATTAAGGCGGTTATACCACATTCTACTTGATTGCTTTAGACCATACAAAGATCTTTACAGTTTGATTGAAAATATTTTTCGGGACTTCGAATTATGTGCATCAGGCATTTTAAATCCCTGGGAAATTTTCATGTATATCTCATTATCAAGTGAGCCGTAAAGGTAGGTTGTAACCACATCCATTAAATGCATGTCAAGTTTTTCATGGACAGCAAAACTAATGAGATAACGGAGCGTTATAGCATCCATAACAGGAGAATATGTCTATTCATAATCGATACCAGGCCTTTGTGAAAATCCTTGTGCAACAAGGCGTGCCTTATATCTTTGGACTACAGACCCAAAAACTTCACGTTTTGCAAGTGAAGTTAGGTAGGTCCGTATCGTGATTTGGGACTTGGGCGTATGCTCGGAATCGAATTCAGAGGTCCCTAGCCCGAGATATGGAATTTTGATAAAAAAGTTAAATGTTTGAAAGCTTAATGATTTTTAGAATTTACTGATATTGGATTTATTGACATCGGATCCATATTTTGGTTCCGGATCCTGGTATAGGTCCACTATAATAATTATGACTTGTCTGCCGAATTTGGTGAGAAACAGAGTTGATTTGACGTGATTCAGACGTCCGGTTGTAAAAATATAAAGTTTAAAGTTTTCTTGAAAATTTCCTTTGATTTGGTGCCCGATTCGTAGTTCTAGATTTTATTTTGGCGATTTAATCACGCGAGCAAGTTTGTATGAGATTTTTGGACTTGTGTACATATTTGGTTTGGAGCCCCGAGAGCTCGGGTGAGTTTCGAATGGTTAACGGATTGAATTTTGGACTTGGAACTTTGCTGGAAAATTTTCTGATGCACTGTCTGGTTTCCTTCTTCGCGTTCGCGATAGTGGAATCGCGTTCATGAAGAGGAACTTGAGGCATGTGAAATTTACACTTCGCGTTTGCGAAGAGGGGACGTGTTCGCGAAGGGTAGAGGGCAGTGTTCATCGCGAACGTGTGGAAGCGTTAGCGCTCGCGTAGAAGGCGAGGCCTGGCCGGGCACCAAGCGATAAAGCTTCGCGTTCGCGTAGGGTATACGGGTTCGCGAATGCCAAATTTGGCAAGGCTTCGCATTCGCGAGGTTGCCTTCGCATTCCCATAGAGCAAAGGTTTGGCAGCACAAAAATGTGCTTTGCGAACGCGAGGCACTGACCGCGTTCGCGAAGGGTAAAAATTCAAGAAACAGAACTTAAGTTCTGGAAAATGGGATTCGTCTCATTTTCATCCATTTTCCATTTTTGAGCTCGGTTAAGGCGACTCTTGGGCGTTTTCCATGGGAAAACATTGGGGTAAGTGTTCCTTATCCTATATGGATTATATTTCATGATTCCATACTCATTTATATCATGAATCCGTGAAATTTTGGGAGAAAAATCAGATTTTTTAATAAAATCTTCCAAAAATAAAAATTTAAGATTTGTCGGTCCATTTGACATCGGAATTTGATAATTTTTGTATGGTTGGACTCGTATCGGAATGGGTGTTCAGATTTCGTAAGTTTTTCCGAGATTTGAGATGTGGGCCCCACTGTCAATTTTTAAAGTGAATTTCGGATTTTATCCGGAAAATTAGTAAATTCATATGGAATTAATTGCTATGATTCGTATTGAGTATATCAAAATGTTTGTGAATAGATTTGACGCTTTTGGAGACAAATTCAAAAGGAAAATTTGTGGTCGAGTAATTGATTGAAATTTCAAAGCGAGGTACGCGTCGTGGTTAACCTTAACTTGAGGGAATAGAACCCTTAAATTATTTGTTATGTGAAATGCATGTGAACGATGTATAGGTGAGGTGCGCATATATCGCACAACCAAAGATTCTAAGATGAGAAATATTTGGCTCTTGACCAAAAGCCAATTGCAATGGGGAGACTTTATGATAACTTGTGGGTCTTATCCGCACAAGTGCTGCTGCATGTAAAATAGCATGACCCC